GCGGGTGCCTGTGGTCCCAGCTACTTGGGAGGCTGAGGCAGGAGACTCTCTTGAGCCCAGGAGTTAGAGGTTGCTGTGAGCTGAAATACCATGGCACTCTACCCAGGGGGACAGCTTGAGGCTTCTGTCTCAAAAAAAGAAACAAAAAACAAAAAACATTCACTTGCTCTCTTCTCTACACAAAGATGTCAATAAACAAAGTTGGTAGCCTCCTATTTCTTGGCCTCAGCTTCTTCATGCCAGGGTGGCAGGACTTAGGTGACTATTTAGTTGGCTTCCCCTCCTTTGAGGCCTGGATAGTCACCAGCCAGAGGTCCACTCCATCAATTTCAAAACCAACCAAGATACACACTAATTGCAATTTGATTGCACTAATTCCAATTGATATTGGTATGCTGGGCCTCCATACCAGCCATACCCAGGTTGGACCTGTGAGTGAGTGAGCTCTAAGGAAAGGGAAGCAGAGGGCATGGCAGCCCCAGGGCCTCCTCTGGGTCCTGAACCCTCCTACAGAGTTCAAAGGGCATCTGATTTGCTCCAGATTCTGGAGTTCTTTGTATCAGAAACTCAAGAAGACAGATTTTTAAAGCCACTGTCTCCTCTCACCAGCATTTTGAGGACTTCAAAGCCTAGTGGTTCTTGGAGAGTAGCCAAAGGGTAGCACCCTCTCCAGCTTCAGCGGGACACTGAAATAACTTTTAAAACTGGAGTGCCTGCCCAGCGTGTGAAAACAGAAAGATTTTGATAAAGGAAAAAGTTTTCAGGTCACACCACCAAGATGACACAAGTGAAAAGTCCCCAGCACTCAAGCCCAGGCAGGATGTCACAGCTATGGGAGAAGGGCTGTGGGGACCCACCCACTTCAAGAACAGTTTTTCTTATCCTTTGCATTCAGCTCCTAACTGGACTTAGTGTTTTCCTGAGGGACCTACAAATCTGGAGCATCCCAGGGGGATGGTTTCCGGCCTCAGTCCTTGGGGGGAAAGGATGTTCTCAGAAAAACAGCCCCACGGGTTGGGCAGCAGAGATCGTGAGGTCGTGGCCGCGGCTGGTCTTGGTGCAGAGCTGGACCCGGAGCTCCAGCTGCTCACTGAGTTCGTCCAGAGCCCCAGTGCAGGACTCCAGGCTCTCGGCCAGTTTCTGAATCTTGGCCTTCAGCACTGCCTGGCTAACCTTGGTAGCCCCCTCGGCCCTCCTGGGGATGAGGAAGCCACGTGAGCCAAAGAAGACGATGAAGTAGACAGAGTTGTACAGGGCGATGGTGGCGTTCCTCCCGCACTGCAACAGCTGGCGGTCCCCGCAGCCCTGCCCGCGGCAGAAGAACTCGAGGCAGCGCAGCATCTCACGCATCTGGTCCTGGCAGGTGGCCGCGATCTCCTGCACCCTCCGCAGTTCCCGGGAGTTGCAAAAGATCAGGGAGAGGTCGGACGTGATGGTGACAGCCCCGCCGGCCGTGGCCACCCCCAGCCCCACGGCCGACGCCAACAGCGAGGCCCCCAGGGTGACCGGGCTGAGCGACAGCCCCACGATGGCGGCCACCGCGCCCGCGGCGCTGAGTGAGCTGCCAGCCACGTTGGCTGCCAGGGAGCGCCGGCGGAGGCGCTCGAGGCGCCGGGCCACCTCGCGCAGGCGCAGCACCTGGCCTTGCAGCCGGCCGCGCCGGTCCAGCAGCAGCCCCTGGAAGCGCCGCAGCGAGTCGACGCCCAGTGGCTCCGGGGCCGCGGGTCTCTCCATGCCCTGCGGGGACACAGACACGCGATTAGCCCGAAGTCTCTGCACCTGTCGCTACTGCCCCTCGCGCTTCCCGTGCCCAAGCTGGAGTCCACAAGAGCTAAAAGGAACTGTCACGCCAGGGGAAACGAGTCCATTCCCAGTGGGTCATGTGTCAAGTTCACAAAGACTGGTTCTGGAATCTGGGACGAGTTCCATAAGTTCTGAGGACCTTTCATCTGCATGTGAAAATAGGAACAATGCTATATTCTGCTTTTCTCCCAGGGAATGCTAACAATGGGCATCATCTGTTGAATAAGCTTTTATTTATTTTTAATTTTTTATTATTATTACTTTTTTTTTTTTTTTGCAGTTTTTGTCTGGGGCTGGGTTTGAACCCGCCACCTCCAGCATATGGAGCCAGTGCCCTACTCCTTTGAGGCACAGGTGCCTCCCAAATAAGCTTTTATTTTTAAGAGATGAGGGTCTCACTATGTTGCCCAGGCTGGTCTGGAATTCCTGGACTCAAGTAATCTTCCCACCCTCAGCCGCTGGAGTAGCTGGAATTACAGGCGTCTGCCACTGCACCTAGCTATGATGTTAAGTAAAATTTTAACTGGGCTGGGGAGTATTAGAAGGCTTCTCCAATACTGAGTGAGGCCTTTGCTCTGTTTGAAAGATAACACTTTCTGAGTGGTAGGTTGTACAGTTTACAACGACTTTTCGTTATATGAAGATTTGGATCCTAGGAGTTTTACAACACATTTCCTCTCTCTCTCTATTTCTCTGATAAGTGAAAAAGACAAGTCACCAAAACCTCAAAAGTCTTATATTTGTCTCTCAAATATAAGAAACTAATCTAAGTTAGATGCTTGCCTGAAGCAACTCTTCTGCTTGTGATTCTTCCAGGTTCTTATGTTAGACTCAAACTTAAGAAGACATTTGCACTATTCCTTCTAACTAGGACTATTTATTCTAACCAGGGCTCTTCTGGTCTTCAGAAATCACAATCTTTGGTGTTTGTATAAAATTAAATTAAATTAATACTGCTATGACTCTTTGTTATGAAATCTTCCTTTAAAAATTTAGTAACAGTTGAATAAAATAAAATGGCCTGAATTCTTGTTCTCTACTTCACTGAGGGCTACCTTGTACCAAAGTGAATTGAAACCAGTCAAAGATGACTAACAAAGAAACAACTTTATATCTTGGGGTTAAAAGTACATCCTTCCCAGTTGCCAAAGATTCCCACCCTCCTATCCACTGCACTCATCATTATTAGGAATGCCTTAAAGTGGCAAGTAAGTCATAGAAATAGAGCATTTCAAAAATGTAAGATAAGGCAGAAATCATTCTCATTTGGAAGATAGGGACATTGAAAAACAGAAACATTCTAGGTACTGCTGATTCTTCATTGAGCCCAATCTGGATTCCTGGTCTCCTGACATACAGGTCTTCATTTTACTTACATATGCCCATAAAATCCAACCCACCAGTAATAAGTTTCCAGATAAAAAGAGAAAATGAAAAAAGTCATCCCCAGGATATAACAGAATAAGGATACAGCCCCATTGCAAGTCCAATGGTCATTTTCCAGAAGGTAAGCCTGGAGGCTTCCCACTTACCATTCACTCTGGCTGCCTCCAAGAAAGAAAAAATCTGAGGCCGTTTCTGGGTGAGTGTGCTTTATAGTTTCAGAGGACCAATGGCTGCCCTGGGAAAACCTTGTCTCATTCTGAGAATTTGCCATTTCCTGTCCTGGCCCCTGCTGCCTTCAGCCAGAAGGATGTGACATGGTGGAAAATGACCTGCCAGCACAGCACATCCCATATTTAGGAAATGAACATTGTGTGTTCGCTTTCCCCCAAACGCAGGAAGAGAACCACAGGCTCTTCCCCAACTTGAAACAAGTGTGTTGTCATTCTCCCTGGGGGGATACCCTGCCTTTCCTCTCCTGAGAATAGCTGATGACGTGATTGGGAAGCCTTCAAACAAACTCCAGGCTGACCAATTACAATGTTTCTTGAGAGGCCACCGTTACAAAATCATTTTTAAATAAAACGGAGGGGATAGGAAACTTTTTTATCTCTGATACAGCCGCTCATGGTCTATTCCTATATTTTAAAAAGCCTGATGTCGGCTTGGTGCCTGTAGCTCAGCGGCTAGGGCACCAGCCACATACACAAGAGCTGGCGGGTTCGAACCCAGCCCAGGCCCACCAAACAACGACAGCTACAACCAAAAATAGCCGGGCGTTGTGGCAGGCACTTGTAGTTCCAGCAACTTGGGAAGCTAAGGCAACAGAATTGCTTAAGCCCAAGAGTTTGAGTTTGCTGGAGCTGCAACGCCACAGCACTCTACCGAGGATGACATAGTGAGACTCTGTCTCAACAACAACAACAAAAAAGGCCTTATGTCTATGGCCATACCACCCTGAAGGCACCCCATCTCATTTAAAAAGCCTTGTGAAGTGGTTGAAGCATGTGATCCATTCAGCATGTAGCAGGCCCTAGATAGCCTTAAAAATGCAGGGCCACACCCATAGGAAGTACTGCGTGCAGCTTTGGGCATTTCCAGCTGTGGAGAAGATGCTTGAGGTCTCAGAAAGGGCACCCAGCAGGCCAAATGCGTCAGAAAAATCAGTGAGGTCAGGCTGTGCAGGGAGCTAATTATACACTTTCAACAGCAGCAGGGATTTGACTTTCCGGGTTTTCATTTGAAGTAGCAGTTGGAGCCCATGTGATAGCTAAATGAATAGATTCTATCTACGTGTTAGTGAAGTGTGGGCTGAAGGGCAATTATTTTGATAATTCAGAAGGGAAAAACAAATGTATCAACTGTGGACTTGGCACAGAACAGATCACAAGGAGAGTAGATATCTCTAAGGTAGTCATAGGTGGGTAGAAATCAGCCTGGAAAGTCACCCCTATCACAGGGCCCTGCGTACTAACCTAGAGCCCCTCATCTAGCACTTTCAACTTCAGATAAGGAAGCCCATGTTGATTTCTCACTTAAATGATGATTGCCTCAATGCTTTGGTTCCTTTGGAAAGCTTTAACAGTCATATCAATCTGGATTATTAATTATGAAATCCCCACCTTCAAAACTATATTTTGTATTTATCAACACATCATGTGGTACTATTCACAGCCATGGGCCTTTTGAAATTTTGATTATTCTGAATTTGGTCCATATCCAAATATTCTGGTTACAGCTCTTCAAAGGATAAATATAACCTCAGTCAAGATATCTTCAGCAGCTACCTGCATTTTTGAGGTTAAGTGGAAGAATACCTTCTTCTGTCTCCAGAGACACAGTCGGTCTCAATGGGCTGTGAACCAGGGTGAACTGGGGAGGCGCCCAGGAGGGATCCTACCCTGATTCTTGGGTTGAGCATCCTTCCTCTGACTTTTCCTCCTGCGTGCTTGGGGTTTAGAGAAACACATTAAATCTTTATTTTATGGACGAGGAATTTTGCTGGGAGTCTTGTTCAAAGCATCAGTGCACAGTACAGAAGGAGGATGACAAACTAGAGGTATGGGAGAATGGACAGCATGTGTACTGACCTCAGCCCGATTTGTTTTTCTCTCTGTTGAAGACCTATTTTCTTTATATTTTCCCCCCTTTATGGAGGACAAAAATTGAGTTATTTGACAGTTTGGGCTAGTTGAAGTTTTACTGCCCATAAAAACCTAGTACTTCACATAATTTATAAGAACTGACCATCTGGCTCAGCTCCTATATATAGCTCAGCAGCTAGGGCGCCAGCCACATACACTAGAGTTGGCGGGTTTGAACCCAGCCTGGGCCTGCCAAACAGCAATGACGACTACAACCAAAAAACAGTTGGGTGTTCTGATGGGCACCTGTAGTCCCAGCTACGTGGGAGGCTGAGGCAGGAGAATCACTTGAGCTGAGGAGTTTGAGGTTGCTGTGAGCTGTGACACTACAGCACTCTACTGAGGGCGATATAGTGAGATTCTGTCTCAAAAACAAAAACAAACAAACAAAAAAGAGAACCTGACAATCGAACTTAACACTTTCAACTTGGCATTTGTTTACTTTCATATAATAAGGCACAATTAGAAATCGAGGGAAAAATTGAAGGTCTTTTGGTCAAAAGTTGATGTAGGCCATCCTCCCCAATCCACCACCCCAAATCTAGGGGGTGCATCCTCAAACCTCTTTGCTACATTGTTGGGCACTTGGTTTGTGTGTGTGTGTGTTTTGTTTTTTTAATATTTATTTATTTAATTGAAGTTTTTGCCTGGGGCTGGGTTTGAACCCGCCACCTCCAACATATGGGGCCAGCGCCCTACTCCTTTGAGCCACAGGCACCGCCCTTGTTGGGCACTTATAACACATCACCCCAGAGAGACTACATTGAAAATGGTGGTCAGTCCTCCTCTAGCCTACTAGCCTTTAGATCTGTTAAACTGTTGGGTTTTTTTTGGGGGGGGGGTTGTTTGTTTGTTTGTTTGTACTTTGAGACAGGTCTCACTCTGTCACCCAGGCTGGAGTGCAGGGACACAATCATAGCTCACTGCAGCCTTGGACTCCAGGGTTCAAGCCGTCCTCCTGCCTCAGACTCCCAAACAGCCGGGACTTTCAGCATTTAGGTATGTGCCACCACACCTGGCTAATTTTGTAAAATTGTTATAGAAATGGGGAGGGTGTCTCCCCATGTTGCCCAGGCTAGTGATAAACTCTTGGCCAAAATTGATATTCTTGTCTTGGCCTTCCAAGGTGCTGGGATTACAGGCAAGAGCCACAGTGCCTGGTCCAGATACATTAACTCTCGATGCAGGTGAACTGTAGCACACAGTACTAGCTTGAATTTTGAGTCCTAGGATTGTATGGAAATTCAGAGCAGGAAGGAAAAAAGGTCGGGAGTTTTTTAAGCCCAAGACTCTCCAAACTCCAGCCCTAGAGAGTCTAATTCAGCAGGCCTGGAGCAGGGTCTGAGAAAACGCTGGTGATTCTGACCCGCAGCTGCATTTGTGAACCACTGGCCTGGAAGCTGGTAATTTTCTGACCACTGGTTAAGTGGCAGCAGAAGCAACAACAGCAATAGACAAGAATATGTTAGTTATGTTTATACAACATAACTAAGTTTTAACAGCCTATTCGTTTGGGACCCCCACTTAAAACTCTCACATTTTAAAGATAATGTGATGTTTACACCCAGGGCCTCCCAGAGGACTGGGCGACCTTTGCTTTTTGAGGCTCTTGGTGAATTTTAAAAAATAAATTCTAAAACAGATTGTACAAAAAGCATGGCTTATTTATTTTAATTGCAATGTAATAATATCTTATAATTTCAACATTTTGGTATTCATAATATAATCACAGGATGTATAAAAATATTAATTCATAGTGCACTACAGTGGTAAAGTTACAAAAGTTTAGAGTTAGATGATGATTATTTTTTTCCTTTTAATCCTTGTCAGTCTATCTTGGTGACACTATACATCTTTTGGAGATGATATCAAAAATGTGAAAAAGAGACAATTGGTGAATGTGAGGTTTAGTCCAAAGGTCTTCCAGACTTTCTTTTGTAATCTGTTCTAATAAGTACATTCACCAAAAAAAAGTAAAGTAAATTATAATAATTAAATACATCTTTACTTGAGGCTTTTTGCCCATTATTTTTGTGAATTTTATGAGAACGTAAGTCCTCTACATAATTAAGCTCTCATACTTACTTGTTGAATTTAACTAACGGCACATGTTTTGTTGACTTGAAGAACTGTCATTATTTTCATAATAATTTTAGAAGAATTTAACATTAATCCTAGAACCCTGGGAGGCCAGAGAGGGTGGATTGCTTGAGCTCAGGAGTTCAAGACCAGCCTGAGCAGAAGTGAGACCCCGTCTCTACTAAAAATAGAAAAACTAAGGCAAGAGGACCGCTTGAGCC